TCCACTAGTGCCTGGAATGCTTCACTTGTCCTTACAAATCCATTTCTGGACATATTTTTAAAAAGTGAAAAAAAATTTTTAGTGTGAAAATCTCTACCCTGAGGAAGCACAAGGCAATCCAAAGATAAGAAAACATGCCCCAGAGTTCAAGTTTTAATTACCTCTTGTTCGTGTATTAAAAATAAAAAAAAACTTTCTGAAAAATGAAGGATTTTTCAGAATAGACAAAGTGGGTGCAGCCTGGGAGAAACCCAGCTATAAAGTCACACTTTAGACTCGGACCTTTTGAGGGTAGGAAGAAAGGAGTCACTAAGGTTTTCACTTAGCGACATATTGACTGTTTACCCCTGTACGTGCTGGTGTGTACCAGGATCAGGTGTGAAAGCTGACGAACCCAGGTCTGAAAATTAGTGGTTGGAAAGAGCTGCCTCCTCCCCTAGCGGTTAGCCGCCCAGTTGTGCCGCCCTGCCTCGATTTCTTCGTGCGCGGAAGTTAGCTCGCGGGAGAGGGAGAAATGCAACAACTTCCTAAGCCCTCGCAGTACTGTGGCAGCCTTGGCGCTCTAAGCCGGCGAACATCTCCAAACGGGAGATTGCCTGCGACAGCTACAGCCTGTCTCCTGCAATCCTTCCGCGCCTCGTTCCGCAGCTGCCACTGGCGCCCCCAAGCGCCGCGCGCCCGCGCACTCCTGCTCTTCTCCCAGCCCCTTTCGACCACAGTGGCGAACTGGACCTAGGGAGCCTCGGGGTTTGGCAGGAAAGGCTTCCCATGGAATTCCCAGAGGCTGAGAGGCAAAAAGCGGAGGAAGGCAGGACCTCAAAGACTCCCTTGCCCCTGTTCATTCTGGCCTGGGATTTCCCCTTTGCAAAGAGGGGAGTTGCCTGGAACCGTAAAGATGACCGCTAGAGCTGTAAGATTCAGATCTCGGAGTGTACTCAGGGGCACCCTGTTCCTCCCAGCTCCTCAGGGACATAGACATACGCTGCGTGTGTGGTGGGGTGGGGGGCTGGAGGATGGAGAAGGAGGAGACTAGAAAGTCCTAAATGCCTCCCGGGAGGTAGAATAGAAGCATCTTTCTCCCTTCTCTATTGCTTCTCTTCCCAAAGTCCTTATCCGGATCGGTGGGCACCCTCTGGCGCACCAACACAGCGCCAGCTCCAAACCTCTACTGGGACGCACAGGCTAAAACCAAACTTGAGCGTACACAGTCCACGGTATTAACGCCCAGATGCTTCACTTTCCTCAGTCTTCTATAGGGCTTTTCCAGTGCTCTGCTCCGAGTCAGAGACTGGAGATAGGTTGGGAACCCATGGAAGGGTGCTGGCGGTCCTGAAGTGCGGTGGCAGCTTGCCCCTCTCCACTTCCACATTTGCCCTCCGTTTATTTCCAGAGGTTCTTCCACCCTCTGGGCGGTTGTCAGGAACTAGGGCCCGCATATTCCTCTGGGAGTGAATACATTTTTCTCAGTTGTTGTAGATTGGAAAGGGAGTGGGAGGGGGCTAAGGAGAAGCAGGAGGGGAAGCCTCAGAAGGAGCTGCCGCAGGGAAAGGAAAAGAGGAGGGCGGGGACGTGGGGGTGATAGAAACGTTTTACTCTTTGTCACTCCTGAACTGGGGGCGGAGGAAAATAAGACCCACTTGTGGGAAGCTATAAAAAGCAAAGGGGGCGGCGGTGAGAGAGCAGACAGAGAGGGAGACCGCGGGAAGCGCAAGACCGCTCCCAGGGCATCGCAGCGTCGGTGGTAGCAGTTGGCTGCTGCTGGGTTGTGAACTGGAGAACAACGCTTCAGGGCGACTGTGCGTGCGTGCGTGGGGGAGCTCGGCTGGCCTCAGACCTCAAGGATCGCGTCTGGGACGCGGTTCCTGATCCCCCATTACAGTGCCCGCTAACATTGAAAAGGAGGACTTATGTCCTGCAAAGGTTGAGAAGTAAAGGTTAGGGAAGGAAAAGAGGAGAAAAAAGCAACTGAGGCCGAAGAAGAAACTAGTGTGGACCTCCTGAGCAGTTAAGAGGAGGATTGGACCGCGGAGAACCGGGCGGGACCTCGGAGGTGCGGGGCAAGGAGCAAGGGAAGCGGTGCGGTCCGCGGGACTGGGTCTTCTTGCACCTCAGGTCACGCCTCCTTGGCGAGAAGGCGCCTTGCCTTTGATTGCTTCCAGTTACTGCAGAACTTCCTGCCCTGGCGGAGAAGCGGGTCTTGCTTGGGTCGCGCTCGCTGCTGGTCTGAGGCGTGAGACTGAGTTCACACGGTGCTGGGCCCCCAAAGCCAAGTGGAGTTGGGGGAACAGAGTCTGCGAGCCCCGTCGCCCCAAGTGAGGGGCCCCGTGTTGGGGTCCTTCGTGCTTTTGCATCCGCACCCCTGCGGGCTTTGCTCCTCCCCGGGGACCCCTCGCCCGGAGATGGCCGTGTTGATGCGGGGCAAGGACTCGTCCCGCTGCCTGCTCCTACTGGCTGCGGTGCTGATGGTGGAGAGTTCACAGTTCGGCAGCTCTCGGGCCAAACTCAACTCCATCAAGTCCTCTCTGGGAGGGGAGACGCCTGCCCAGGCCGCCAATCGATCTGCGGGCACATACCAAGGACTGGCTTTCGGCGGCAGTAAGAAGGGCAAAAACCTGGGGCAGGTAGGAAAATACCCCAAAATACCCACTCTGAGGCCAGGAGAGGTAGAGGGACTGGAACTCTCGACAATTCGTTTGCCTTTGCGCCTCTCGACCTTCCGCCCCCAGGTGTGGCGCCCAAGACAGCTGGCTAGGGGTTCCTAGAAGCAGGTCTGCGCGGGCGCGGGAGGCTGGGTGGCTTTAAGTACGGGAGAGCGTGGAGCGGGTAGGTTAGGGTACCGTCTCGTCTCTGCTTTGGGATCCAGGCATGTACAGGGATCTAGTGCATACAGGTGGGGGAAGTGACCAGAATGGTCCTTCTCCAGATTTAACACAGCGATGCCACAGATGATGTGAGTAGCTAACACATAGCAACTGCTGTGTGTCAGGCACCGTTTTAAGCGTTTTACACGTATTTAGTCTTCACAACCCTATGAGCTAGGCGCTGTTACTCTCCCTAACCTGCAAGTGAGGAAATTGAGGCATGGAGTGGAAGCTGTGTGCCCAAGGCCAACAGTTAGTATAAGTGGCAGAACAGGATTCAAA